GGTTTTTAATGGATTTTGATCGAACTGATCCACGTCAATCCCGACTGAGCAAACAATTGCTGAAGTTGTTTTTATCTCTGACAATACCACCTTTCGTCGGAGGACTCAGGATGCGCAGTACACACTAACCATCAAATTTGAGTTCTCCCACTATATGGTCCTTTTTTACCCGCTGGAAGAGGCGTACAGGAAATAAAAACAGGTGCGCGCTTACTACTTTGATTCGCTCATTACATAGCGCATAAAAATTGGGTTCACTGAAAATAGTAAAGTTATACGAGATGTCTCATGTGGTAATGGAGGATTTGGTTCAATTTCAAATGACAATTCTCAAAGATGGGTTGTGCTATATCGTGTAAATGGAAAATGAAAAACGGTCTGATCAGCTGCCCGGTGGTGTAGTGTGCGGCACGCTTACGTTCTGCCCATGGAGTCCTGGGTTCGATCCCCAGTCGGGTCGATGGATTCGCACTGCTGATGAGACCCAACCAGGNTACACGAAGAATTATCATTTGAAAATTATACGAGATGTACTAAATGTTTGATGATAGCGGTGCATCGTTTAAACCTTCGCCAATCAGTGTGCGGCGATTTGATACCATAATGACATTTAACAGCCCAACATAAGATCGCCACACCTTATTTCTTAACCAAGCCTCGCACCATCAGCATTTGTAGAAATTCAAATGTTTCAATATTCGTTGACCTTAGAATATCCCGATACATTTTGTCCTACTCGCCTACAGTGGCGCGACTAAAGTTTGTGCGTCGAGGCTAAAAGGTTATGGGTAGTGACTAAGGAATTGTGGGTATCGGCTAAAACACCACGGGTTTAGGTTAAAGTTTGGTACGTAAAGATGTAGTTCGACCTAAAGTATATTCACACGGTGACCAAAAATCTTTTTCTCGATTTGAATACATTAGAGTTCACTTTCGCAACTGCTCACTTACAAAGTTTTCTCTTTCCAAATACTCTCTTATTGATGGTTTCATTATATTCGTCACTATTGACCTGTATCTCCTTAGGAACAAACAATCAATGTCACTTATAATTACTGTTTCTCGGTTAAAAATATGTACCTATCCAATGGAACCCTAATCTCCTCACCACTGAAGTCGCTGCGAAGACCAAAGGAACGTGCATACACGTCCCATAATATTTTAACTATCAGGCACTTACCCAGGTTTACCAAAACTGACATAGATGAAACGCAATATATTCCGAGTGAAATCTATGGTATGGAAACAGTAAACACCTGTGTCAAGGCACTCGACTTCTTTGTGGATGAAACTAAGAGCTGGACGTCGATGTTGACGATCTCAGGGTCACATTCCTACGTCATTCGTCAGCCAGTCCTTAAACCCACTCGTCACACAATATTTGTAATGTGGAACCGT